GAACATTCCTTAATCTACTACCGTCCTGGGTAAGACGATAAACTACATCCGACAGCAAGGCCTTTGATCAGGAAGTTTTGATGAATGCGGAACCACCTGATAATTTCTGGTGTTCCCAGATCCATTCTGACCCGGGGTGGTAGCACCTGTTAGGGTCCCAGCTGTGGGCAAATAGTTAACCCCCAAAATGGATTCAAAACGCCATAAGAGTAAAAATAGGTTTTAATAACAGCAATGAATTTTTGAAGAAAAATTATTACCAGCAACACATTCTAGAAAAAAAAAATATCACCAGTAATAAAAATCTTGTCGGCATTGCGGTTGATATGTCGTAAAACAAACCAAACTAAAACTTAATTTACTAAGTTTCTTTTTAAACCTCTTTCCTCATCTTTCCTTCATTTTATTCCTAATTTATTCTTTTCGTTTTAATTCTCCATTTATATCTATCTTTATTTAACCATCCTTCTGTCAAAACAGTCATTACACTTCAGTCCGGTTTTGAATTTAGGGATGTCCTTCTCCTGGACGGGTTGCCCTCTCAAATCAAGAGAGCCCAATCAGTTCGGCGATTCAGTCTATAGCTGGGTTCGGAAAGTTATGGGTTGCTGCAAAGGGTATTTGTGCAAAAGTGAGAGTAGCGAACAACGGCCAGAAATCGAACTCGGCTCTCTCAGATTCGCTAAACTTTGTCAGTGAGATCTTCTTATCCCCAGCTGTGTGTATATATATATATGTGAGTCCGTGGTATAGAGTAATTGTTATTAGCCTAATAGTCTTAGTCAGTCAGTCGATGTTGGTCGACCGGCTGATCGGTTGAACTCTCTGCCTTCGGGCGGGGAGGAACCCGAAGGAGGCTACGCCGAAAGGCGGATTCTCTTTCGGGGAGGTAAACCGACCCTGAACCCGTTTATACGGGTTCAATGGGCATATTTTTGGCCGAGCCCACGGGCTCGGAGATCCCACGTTAAACCGGCTTTGTGCCACATGATGCCCACGTGGGGGTGACTAAATATCGTTATTAGCCTAATATCTCGAAAGTCAAACCATGGCAGCCATTCTTGCTCTCGCGAAGTCCACCACAATTATACCGTGACTATAAACTACTGCTGCTGCTTGTTACATGACTTTGATTTGTTCTGTCAGCTCTGTATTTTCAACTGCTCTGCCTTCAGGATTTATTTTATCCCAAAATGTTCCTAGTCTATCTTGATCCACTGTGCACAACAACATCAACAACAATAATAATAAGCTTAATTTATGTAAAATCTATGTGTTATTATGTTTCGTTTTTTTTTTTTTTTTTGTTTTTGTTTTTTTGACTGTGGGAAGTGTTATGACGCCATTCCTGATCTTAGGTCTCTGGTTTGGATCCGGAAGGAAATGTGTATGCAACAGAAATCATAGGAAGTAATTGTAATGAAAACAATATTAATATGAACATCACTGACAAGTTTGATCAATGGTTTTAGTTCTCGTGAGAGCAACAAATACAGCAAGTGATTTGCAAACCTTATTGCAGACGTTGCAAACTAATTTGTTTTGTGCAAGGTCTGACCTGTTTTGTAAACTCTGTTCAGCTCACTCGTGAGTTTTCATGTAACAGGTGAGACTGGAGTGGTTTCTGTAGGTTTTAATCTTGTTTGGTGTCTAGCCACTATTCCTAACACAACAATCTGATGGATAAACTTGGTTAGTCACAGATAATCCGACAAACAATACTGGATTAGATAGTAGAAGTAGCACTTAAATAGCAGCCTAATATATATCACGTTCTTCGTAAGCAGCTTGGGCTGTCTACAACTTCCCGTTGCTTGTAGCTCTTCATTAACTTTATCTTTCTGTTATTTCTCCTAAGACCTGTTCCGCCATTGATATCCTCAAACCCACTAAGTATGTTATGTGTTGTTTTCTCCTGTCCCTCTTACCCTCTATCTCTCCCCTGAGTATCAGATTTTTCAAGCCCTCTTTCTTCATTATTTTCCCCAGAAACCTCAGCTGTTTATTCCTGGTGTTAAGTATTAGTTCCCGCCGAAACTTCTTCGTTGCTTACATTTTCGGTTCATTGTATCTTCAGCATTTATATTTCTGTTGTTTCAAGTCTCCTCTTCATCTTTTAAGTGATTGTCCAGCGTACTTTTTTCCTTGTTTCTAACGAAATGTTTCTAATTCTTCTGAATATACATAATACATACATCATAATGCGTGTTTAATTAGTCCAGAAATTCTTTTATTCGTGAATTTCATTGTTAACTAGATAAGGATTCTTTTAAAATTCTACTTTCTACTTTTCGCCCGAATGAATGTAGGACTATGGTCCGTCTGAGTAAAAACTGTACAAAAGATGTTTTCTTTGTCAACGAATCGTTTAAAGAATTCGTGATTCGTTTTGTTTAGATCCAAGTCTTTAATGGTTATAGATATTTAAATGAGTGTAGATATTTAAATATCAGCGATATTTACATATCTGAGATATGGCGTTTGTTCTTGAAATGAAAACAGGAACAACTTGAAAACCAGGACCCTCTTTAGTAATAATTTGTTCGATATATGTATAATCGTGGGACGTTGATAGCAGGATTGGAAAATCATCTGAAGTCATTGGTTTTTGAGCGAAGCATTGAATGAAAGAAGGAATTCTCGCATTTGACGGCATATAAGACGTACGGGTGTATAAGACGCATCCCAATTTCAGCAGGGTACATCAAAAAATTAGTAATGAGTAAAATTAGTAAACCTGCATATGGCATATAAGACGCAAGGGAATTTTAAAAGATATTTTTAGTAAAAAAAAACAAAAAAGTGCGCCTTATATGCCATCAAATAGGGTACTCAAAATTTCTGTATATTTTTGTGTTTCTCCTGTGTCTTCGTTCATTGTTGTTTTCGTGTATATATTTCTGCTTTTGTGTGGTTTTCTAATCATTTTCTCTATCCTTTCAAATTGCGTATCTTTCCATTTTCTCTCTTTTTTGTCACTAGATTACCGCTCATTGATTTTATATTCCTTTTCTCGTACATACATTTCTTTCTTTCATCCTTTCTTTCTTTCTTTTTATTTTCCTTCTTTCTTTCCTTTTTTCTTTATTTCATTCATTCTTTCTTTCTGTCTTTCTCTCCTTCTTTCCATATTTCTTTTCTTTCGTTTCTTCTTTATTTCTTATACTCCAGTTTCTCCTTTTGCGTTTTACACACACACACATTTATATATATATATATATATATATATATATATATATATATATATATATATATATATATATATATATACATACACATATATATATATATATTATATATATATAATATCTCTTAATCATTTTTTAAAAAATCCTCCTCCGAAAATGACTTTTCCTGTTACCTCACTTCAAATTCCTTTTACGTATTTTCTCGATTTCAAATGTCTATCGCTTTTGCTTTCAGCTTTTCCTTTCTCTTTTCTTCACACTGTTTTTTTTTCTTTCTATTCCGGACAAATTTTGCTTTTCATCACTGTTACATTACTTATCCCTTTCTTTATCCTCTTTTTTTATTTATCTTCTCTTTCTTTTTCCTTTCTCTCTCTTTCCTCGGCTCAAATAGTCCGCGTTCACAGCGTCTGCGGACGTTAGAATATTATGCAAATGAGCGATCATTGAGTGATAACGGAATAGCCTAATGTAAGCGTTGCTCTTATCTGAACTTCGCCGTCTCTGGCTCAAATGTCTGCTTCAATCATGTCCACTCAATTCATTAGCCATCATTTCTCAGCTTGGCTCTTCATCAAACAGCAGAAAAAGAGCAATTTAATCGCATCCTAACTACTTTCATGTTGCTCAGCTTTGTCAAAAGGACTTATTTTGCAAAGATTTTAGTATCAACTAATCACCAAATATATACAGTAGTGTACACGTATTTATGTGGATAGATAGATAGATAGATAGATAGATAGATAGATAGATAGATAGATAGATAGATAGATAGATAGATAATGAAGAAACAAATATAGATTGATATATATGGACAAATGTAGCTAGGGAGAGAGAGTTTGAAGTAGAGGGGTGTATAGTGATATAGCTAAACAAAATACAAAGATATTGAGCAAGAGAGAAAATGTTCAAGAGACAGACACGTAGTTATATAAACAAAAGACACTCAGACAAACACACACTCATCCCACCGCATACACACACGCACACACACACACACAGACAGATAGATAGATAGATAGATAGATAGATAAATAGATAGATAGATAGATAGATAGATAGATAGATAGATAGATAGATAGATAGATAGATAGATATTTACCATTCATGATAAAATATACGGAATAAAAACAACCAGCCGACCGGTTTTTCCCTCAATCGGTAGACCGGGAATCGAAGGAATAAATATCACAATATAAAATATAAAAAGATATTTAATGTGCAATATTAAAGGCGGAACAGTCTAGGGTAAAATAATATCCAGTCGTAACAGACACTCCCTCTGTTTACAGATGGAGGGCTGTTTTTTTATCATGAGGGGTGAAATTGGTCTTACCTTTTTATATTATGTAAGTGGGAAAAGTACTTGAAAACCATACGACGGGTTGACACAAGCCTTGAGAGTGAAAGTGGATAGTCGGAAACCTTGGGGATGTCAATTGCTGTACTGTGTTAGAACGAAGTCGCAAGGCATCGGGGCTTGAGTGTAAATTTTTTTATCATGCAATTAACACGCTCTCCCCCAGAAACTGTAACCTAAGTTTTGTTCATCATAGTTGCAGTATAAACCATATTTGGGTTCTATGGGTGTGGAATAAACGCAAATGCGCCTTAGCAAGGCTACTATAAGGATTAGCTAGCCCACCTAGTAGACAGTAGCCAGCTATATATATATATATATATATATATATATATATATATATATATATATATATATATATATATATATATATATTGTCACTCGTATTCGTGGATACTACTAGGTGGGCTAGCCGATCCTTATAGTAGACGCTTGCTAAAAAAAGAATGAATTTATGTATATATATATATATATATATATATAGATAGATAGATAGATAGATAGATAGATAGATAGATAGATAAATAGATAGATAGATATCTAAGTATAGGATTGGTGTATACGGAATAAATTTCAATAACCAACAAATACTATTCTTAAAAGAATGCTCAATATAAAGTAGGGCAAATATAATTATTTATTTGAAAATTATGACATAAATATGTTAAAAAATCACTGCAAAAATCGCCATTTGGTTTCAACACTTGTGGTGTCTTACCAAGTGATGGTGTTTTTTGTTGTTTTTTATATAAATTTGGGCATGTAGACTATTAAAACTATTTTTACTTATGGGTGGGTATTTTTAATAATTTTTTTTTTATTTTTCTGGCAGAATTTCCTCCCTGTCCAAGAAAGATTATACGTAATTTGGAAAAGTCGATCAGTAAGATTAATCGACACAAAACTTCTGTTATTTTTAATAATATTAATGAGCATATATATATATATATATATATATATATATATATATATATATATATATATGAGCATATACATATATATGTATGTATATATATATATATATATATATATATATATATATATATATATATATATCATTAACTTAACTAATTTACTTTTAAATGTATAATTCATTGTAATGTAATATAAATTGAACTGCGCCACACATTTGATTTAAAAGAACAGATTCGAAGTGCAAATTTTTGGGATAACAACTGAGACATTCCTCTATTTGTTGAAATATTTAATTCATGCCACATTCACTGATAAATTCCTACAGCAAAAAATTCTCAAATTGCCATATTAATAAAAAAAAACGCACTTACTCAATTCAACCTTAGCGTTGCGACTGCACGCTCCAAAATTTTGTACCCGTTAACAATCACAGATTTAAAAACACATACACACACGCACACATGCACACACACACACGCGCGCACGCGCATATATATATATATATATATATATATATATATATATATATATATATATATATATATATATGATATATGATAAGGCAGGACACAAAGTATCACGGCTAAAAAGTAACACGCGAATTTAGGGGTGAAACTAGTTGACACCGCAATGGGCTCTTGTGCTATTTTTCTGTTAAGTGTTACTGTCCTCTTAACAAACGAGTAGAGCAGAATATCCAAAATCGACACATGTCAGTAGAATTTCAATTATTTTGTATATTAACATGAACATCACTGACAAGTCTGATCAATGGTTTTAGTTGTCGTGAGAGCAACAAAGACAACAAGTGATTTGCAAATCTTATTGCAGATGTTGCAAACTAATTTGTTTTGTACAGGGTCTGACCTGTTTTGTAAACTCTGTTCAGCTCGTGTAACCTGTGAGAGAGGAGTGGTTTCTGTAGGTTTTCAAACACATTCCACATGTTAACATACTTGCAGTTGTACTGATCGTAATTTAAGAAGGCTTGCTAATATGACTTTTCTTGTAGTTAAAAAGGCCTGCATTGGAGTGACATACTCTGTTATATTTATCTCATGAAAACTGATGAATGGGCTCTATGGCAAGACAATGTTAATCACATGGTGATTATGTTTTTACCTGTGTTAGACATAATTATAGGATCTATGGTTCCATCAGTAAATGTACAATATCAACCCTTATAAGTTTTCCACATGATTCTGTGCAAGATAGTGGTGAGGGCACAAATTTGCACGGCTGTTGCTTTGTGCCCCACTACACTCTTAACAAAAACCGGTACTTTCCTGTAGCTCGACTTTCGATAATAATATTAAGTTATATATTTTATGCGCCATCACATATATCTAGTCCTGATTGTACTACAATAAAGATTTATTTTCCCTACCAATATATAATAGCCACATTACTATTTACAGAGTGGAGAGTACTTCGACGTGGTGCAATGGTTAACAAGCATTACGACTGAATAATGAGTTCGATCCTTATACTTTCGACCTTCTGTCACATCTAAGCTACGCCTAGAAAACCATTTGCTACTTACATGGCACAGCTGGTATCACGGCTATGACTAGCTTAGACGAGCTCTACCCAGCTTGGACAGGTTATGACCACCTAAGACCAGCTTAGACCATCAGCCACAGTGAAAATACTCGTATCCCTACGTAAAAAAAAAACAGATTTGCATCACAACTAAACTCAGTGTTGGGGGCAGGGGTCAAGTAAATATCTACTATTTAAAGAGTGGTTGCGTATCTCAAACGGCTCTGATTTGTCAACCCACATCTAATAGGATTTAATTCCGCGGTTTCTCGATCTACAGAAATTACGAAATTTCTGTAGAACACCTCTGGAATTAAACCTTATTAGTATTAATTTGTTAGGCGGTTGGGAGTAAAGATCATGTTGACAGATGGGAAATAGCGGCAGCCTATCATTTAAACTGTTCATTATGATATGCTGAAGTAACAAATTTAGTTTTTCCATGGTCGCCAGCTTCAGATAGGTCCGCTTCCTTCCGACATCGCTACAAACAGCATGAGGAGACCTGTTGTTGAGTTATTCTTAATATAACACTGGATATTTTTTAAAAGTCGTCGTTTTCTCAAAAAATATCTACATATTATTATTACCCTAAGGAAACGAAGACGGCTGGACACAGTCTCTGCAGAAAAAATGCATCATTGTAACACTAGTGTTTTCAATAAATGCAATTGGAAACAGAGTTCCTCCATGTTTTATTTTTTTCCGAGGAAAATATTTTAAAGACTACTTTATGCAAACTACCTCACCTGGAAATGCTAATTGCTGTGGCTGGATTTAGGATGAAGACATACATCTTTTCCTCTTGCATTTCGCACAAAATGCAAAAGCAACACATCTTGATACCTTGCTAGTTAAATAATTATAATTAACATTTTATGTCCCTGCCATTGAATTCTGTTAGTAAAACATGGAGGCGTTCAGATGCACAAGAATTTGGCCAATCAACTGAAGTCTTTACGGATGCAGACTTCGTACCATCAGAGTTAACAGAGATTCCTGTGTTGTATCCACCCGCAAGTGTCAGCGCATCGATTCCATCCACCAGTGGCAACGCCCCGACTCCATCTAACAGTGGCTGCTCAACGATTCCATCCACCAGTGGACAATACTGGTTCCGTTCACCAATGGCACACGACCGACTCCATCCACCAGTTACAGCGCACCTATTCCATCCACCAGTAGGAGAGCTCCAGTTCCATCCACCAATGAGAGAGCATTGACTCCATCCACTTGCCCACAAACTCCATCCACCACTATTACTCTCAAGCAAGACAGTTGAAGGAGGGGGAAACGTGGAATACTAATGAGCAGCCTTGTTAAAGCTCGACTCCTCTCACAGAAAGAAGGCTAAAGGATAAGTAGTTGGAAAAGAAAATGTCAGAGTATAACGAATGTCAGATGTCTTCCGAGGACGAAGACAAGTATTGCCTGGAATCTTACTCTGCCATCAGGCCAGGTGAATGTTGGGTCCAGTGCAGTGACTGTAATGGCTCGGTTCATGATGATTGGGGGCAAAATCTATAACTGTGAGAGTGACTGAAGTCATTTTTGGGGGGAACTTGAGTCCTTGTTTTCAAATTATCATTTATCAGTTAAATAAAATTACATTTGAAACATAAAACGGGTATCAGGCTGGTTTCACTGACCAAAAAGATGCAGAAACATGCTCTCCTGGAGGTTAGCATTTCTTTTCATGCATGGATATTTACTTGACCTCCCCCCCCCCACTACTGGGTAAGGTTGTGACACAAGGTCAGTTTTAACGTGGGGACCCGAGTGAAAACACTCGGGCCGCTGGTCTAATCTGGTTTTAGCTGGTCATAGCTTGTCCAAGCTGGTTAGAGCTGGTCTAAGCTAATCATACCCGTGATACCACGAGCACAGGGACGGAGCCTTGAGCCAGGTAAGTATATGTATGTGCGGGATGGGAATTAAGTATGGCTGTAAAAAATGTTTGTTTTTGTTTTTTAGCGATCTCCGAGGAAAAGTTTCAGGGATTTTAATTTAACTAAACTATAAAAAAATAGAACGAGTCGCAAACTAAAATTATTCTTTAAAAAATTGTCATGACCCTTCAGGATAAAAAAAGAAATGTTTCTCCATAGATTCTTTCTCTTTAAAATCAGTAAATTACCAAGAAAGGGAAATGGTTTCCTGTTGTCGTATCGTCGGTTGAGACTTCAGAATTGTCTTTCTAATCTGGCCTTCAGCCAAGACACTAGGAGCGAAGTCTAGTGCGATATTTAACCTATAACTAAGGAGGAGAAGAAATGGGTTCAGGTTCTTTGAGGGGAATTAGTGAAAGAGAGAAGGTAACATCCCGAGCAGCTATTTGAACGTGACTTAACAATTCTACTTCCTGTTGACCATCCAGCACGTCGTTTTTTGATTTTTTTCACTAAGGCGTGTATAAAATCCGGTAAAGAGAAGCACAGAATCTGAAAAAAAAGTGGGGAATAAGAAGTCCACTAATCAAATAACCTGACTTTTGATGGCCTAAGCCTGTGCGTGATCGTTTACAGCGGAGTCTAGAATCTGAAGCGGCCAATTTCTTTAGTCTGGACTTCAGTCATTAATGCCAATGTCCATTATCTTGTAACCCATTTGCTCGCTAGGAAGTCGCCAGGACATACCAGTTTGTACGTTTGTACCTTGCAGATACGTTTCTACTATCGTTGACGAAAGATATCATGAAATAAGTTGGATAAGGTTCATTATGGCTGTCGTAATATCGTTTTTCATGATAATGGTAATTACAACGTTTCGGCCGTTGTAAGCACCGGACTCCTTCAAGTGGTTGGAATGTCGAACTGAACACTTTATCTCGTTCACTGCCTTAACCGGGTATTGAAATCACACTCTTTGGATCCTGTCACTGGATCTAACTAACGACTTTGTCCACTGTGCCATGTGGCCTTGAGAACACATGGCACAGTGGATAACTTGGAGAGAGACATTAACAGGAGATAACTGACAACTGACATCCATTAAATATGGCACGTGCAACTAGAACAGTCTACCCCAGTGAGCGAAATATAGGGTTCAGTTCGACATTCCAACCACTTGATGAAGGCCGGAGCGTACAATGGTCGAAACGTTGTAATAAATACGGCGACAAAGATGAGGAAAATAGTCCGAATAATGTAAATAGTGTACATAATACCTCATCTGAGAAATATAGACATATAACAATGGCAATTACTGTATATTTTTCTTTAATTAAGACGAGGTCAAAAAATATAACAATTTCTTATGAATTTATCCTTTACCTGTAGTATAAGAGGATTGCTTATTGACTGTATAAAAATTATGTTATCGGAAACATAGTTGGTGGGAGGAAAAGAGGATTCATGCCTTTGCCAAGGGTATTAGCACGTAAGTGAATGTAATGGATTCGACTGGAATTTCTCCGATTCCTCACTTCGAGCCACTATCAATTACTCCACCGTACCTCCACAGCGTCTCCACCGTGCCTCCACCGCGCCTCAACCGTGCAAAATGATGGGAGGTTTAAATTGAAAGTTATTGAAAGATAAAGTTTGCTGTGAACAGAATCATAACTCGATGTTTACATTTTCTCAGCTGAGTTTGCATGGATACAAGTTGATTTCATTGATATAGAATTATTCTTCGAATAGGAAATTTATTAAATTTATTTAAATTTTTAAATTTAAGGTAGAAATGGTTTTATTACTTCTATTATCAGTTTATTTGATAATATAAATGTTTTTTTTTTTTATGTACGTTATTGGTTATCACACGTAAGCCGAGGTTAAGCACAACAACAAATGATGGTGATTTCTTTCCTAACATTTTATTTGTTGTATAAAATTTTAACTTCACGATT